CTTTCTTTCTTTCTTTCTTTCTTTCTTTCTTTCTTTCTTTCTTTCTTTCTTTCTTTCTCTTTCTCTCTTTGGAAAAGGCTTGGTAGCTGAAGGGCGGGAGGGGGTGGAAGGGAAGGCGGCTGCCAGACAGAACACGGCCAAAGGCCCTGAGGGCCAATTTCTTGTTGGATCAGAACAAGCTCTCTGGGGCTGCAGCTTTTCTCTTTATCTTCTTGTTTTGCTTTCTTGTAAATACAGAATTATTAGCTTAAATCTGTTCTGTTGGATTCTGTATATAGCTACACCTCGGTTGGAGTGGGTGGGTGGGATCGTGGCGTGGTGGTCTTTGCATTGGGGAGGGGAGGGCCGGCGGGAGGGGGGAGGGGAGGGGGGTGGGCGGCCGAAAGCCAACTGTTTGTACTGAATGGCGAGAATGTTCTAGTAAATGTGTACCAAAATGTGAACTACTTTGTACGATTTCAGTCTCCACGTCGACCTAACAGAATATTATTGATATTAATGTGCTTTTTTTGTATAAAGTGCAAACATTTCGTCCCAAAGTCTGAGTACTTTAGTGCAGTAAAATGTTGTTTCATGTCCTGTCAATAATTCGTATAGTACGAGCCTTGGATCTACGTGTCAAACTGTTCCATTTGTTTATGTAAAGTGATATTAAAAAAAGATATAAACTATAGCTGTCCATTGCTTTTGGCAAAATATACAACCACACAATGTATATAATTCCTAGTTTCCATATTTATCCGCATGTAAAGGGCCCGGTTTATCCATGTTACAGCTATTCAGTATTTATGGCTAGAAAAAAAAAAAAAAAACTCGTATGTACACTTTAGTTTCCAGAACTGTTTGGTAACCTTTCGTACCTTATTAAAGATTCTTAAATCTCAGTGATTGTGGTAGGAATTTCTTCTTCACATCCCCTTCCCCCAGCAACCTGTGCCAGCCTTAGCGGATCTTCGGAAAAAGCTCTCCAGCCTCTCTTGCCTTCTTTTCTGTCATTGCAGGTCATATAAACTTGATAAATGAACGCTACCCTGCTGGCTCTCCGAGAGGGTGTAATTAGTATTTATATCAAAATTTATGAAACAAATTTTCGGCCTCAGTATAATTTAAATGACCTTTGCAGACATAGAATAACAACCATAAAAATAACGGAAATAGATTGCACAGGCAGCATCAATATTAATGTGAGCGAATTGTGAGAAGCTCAGGGGCTCTCTCTGCAGCCTTGCAAATGAACTTGCGGTCATTCAAGGGTTCAGCTGCACCCCCTTAAATCCCCTGGTCTGAAACTGGATTGTAGATTTACAATATTATATTTTAAACTGCTGTCTTCAATTAAACTATTATGGTCATAACTAATTTTCAGGATGCCGATGCATGCTTTTCCAGACCTTCCATCTTTGTACAAAAGTAAATGTCCATAAAGCGTTTCACTTATATATTTTTTCAAACATGATGTTAATTTAAATTAATTACTTCCTATGATATATTATTATTTCTATAATTTTGGTACTGCCATTAGTTCTCTCAAAAATACATCTAGGAAAGAGAATTATTTTATGTAATGTGATTATCTTTCTATCTCTTTTATTTATTTCTCATTTACTTAAGAAATTCGTTCCATTGGCTGGCGTTGATACAGTAAATTTGTAAATGAGGAGACAATATAAAAAATCTAAATTACTTGTGCTTAATGACTGTGGCAGAACGCCTTTTCTCTAAATCAGATTGTCTTTCTTGCAGTTTAGTTTGATAGATTTGCAAGCTATGCTGCCTCGGCGAAGTTAGGTTCTCTGGTAGGGACGCTGGTTTCTTTGTCTCTGGTTGTGGCTTGCATGATCGCCCCATTAGGCAGACTGCGTAGCTAGAACTCACAAATCAGGCCCTTGGCTATGGCTGTGAGGGTGTGGATGTGTTAGAAGTCGGGGGAGGCATGGTTCTGCTTCTCTACCATCCTATGTAGGTCCTGGAAGTTACAGGCCTAAGAAGAAGAACCTTCTTATATGAGATTCACATGTCTTTCACAGCAATAGCAACTTAAGAAATTATACCACTGGCTAATCATAAAATAAAAATGTTATCCTCTTTAAAGCAACCTTTTGCTATTTGTATTTCTCATGTTTAGTCAACAAAGTCTTGTTTATGGATATAAGACTTTGCTGTATTTACTTTATCGCATTTGGGGGATTAATTGTAAAAAAAAAAAAAAGTTCTGTTTATAACAGCAATATTGGCCTTTCATAAAAAGAGCGCCACCTTGCAAATTTTGTTGAGATTTTAAAAAGTTCAATGCCTGAGCAAGAGTTGCTGTTACTTCTAAAAATCTGTGAAATTAAAATCCTGATCTCAGTAGGTTTGGGGATTTAACACTGATCAACAGTGTGGTATTTCAAGTGATGGTACAACATTGAGCCAAACTCTAAACAGAAAAGGAATAGAGGATAGTTCATTTTTCTAAGAATAACAACAGATCCATTAATAATCGTTACCCCTTTTTATTAGAGATGAGGTTTTCAGGGAACCTGGTGTGAATACAAGGATAGATTTAAGAGCACTTTTGTGGTTTTGTCAGAGCATTTAAGGAGACAGCATAGGAGTCTATCTTTGATCTGACTATTTCTAAATCAAGTTTACTTCAAATGTGAAATTCTGTTGGATTATTATGTACCCAATGCCCTTTTGCTTTAATATCATAGTGTAATGATTAAATAACACACTATGGCATAAGATTCATATAAACTATTTAAAAATACATCTTAGCAGTAGGTGTTTTTTTTTTAAATTTCTAATATTCATGTAGATTTTTAAGGTCAAATAATTTTATTACCATCTGAGAAGCCCTCTGTATATATTTATGAATAATCTCACAGCAAAGAAACTTTTATAATAGAAGAAAACATTTATGTCAATTTCCTTTTAGCATTGTTTTTTCCAATGCCCACCACAAAGAAAAAGTCATTAATGATGTAAGTCACCAAAATAATGCTTTAAACTTAAATGTAGTCTATTATTTTGCTGGCACCTTTAATGTCTGTTTCTTGAGATGTATTCTTTATACTTTTCTTCATGGGCTATTAGGTTTTGAAATTCATGAATGTGAACAGAGAAATATATTCTTAGACTCTATTTAGCAGGAGCTGAAGATGTTGCAAATGGCTGGTTTCTATGTGTAGTTGTGGATTTTGATCTAGGCAGAGGCCGTACTGGTTCATAGTGCATACTGCATTGTATTCTGGATACTACCAAATGATTAGGACAGCTAACAAGTTATTAAAATGTTATTTTGTGTCAACAGAAAATGCCTGAGTACAAGCAATCATTTGAGAAATGAAGAGAAATGGGTTTGGTGTGTGTGTGTGTGTGTCTGTGTGTGTGTGTGTGTGTGTGTGTGTGTATACATGCATTCAAAGAGCAAGCATAGAAACACACAAGCACTGTTTATTTGGGGGCTGAGTAATTCTCAAATATTGCAGATCCTTTGTTTTCTTCTTCAAAAGCTACCCCCAACTGCTTTAAGCATTTGCAGCTGATGATTTTGATTTTTTAAAGTCAAGCATTCAAGTTAACCTTTAAGAAGCAAACCACCTCTAAAAGAAAGATGTAACCTTTCAATTGCCTTATATTTATTTATTTATTTATTCATATTTTTTTTTATTTAGCTTTAACTGACAATGAAAATAGCACTAACCTTCTTTCCTGATGGGCTTGGCATTTAGATATTTTTATTTGTTGATTGTGAAGTTTTCTCCAAACTTTGAAAGGCTTGTCAACAGCAGTATCCTGTTTAACATCTCACCCTCCTCCCCAAATGTTCCTCAGCACCAATTTTGAGGCCAGGGTAGAATTAGTGCCCAGGCCACTAATGAGTCATTGCTGATAGACTTGGTACCTGAGCACATTACTCTCCAAGAAGTGTCTTGGAGAAAACCTTGAATCTTAAAGATGGATTGAGGATAAGCCTTTCTGAGGGGTGACTGCAAGGGGTCTGGCATACTTAGAAGGAAGGTACTGGGTTCATTCCTTAGCTATTGTTGGTCTAGATGTGAAAACATCAGATTTTACATCTTTCAGCTTCTACTTATCCCATTTCTCCAATTTAAAATGCTAATCACTCCTTTTTAGGTACAGAGACCTAGACTCCCAGTAACAGCAACCGCAGTTCTCAGAACTGAGCATTCACGCCAAGAAGAGAAGCTGTTTTCATAAAGATGGTCAGAGTTGATATCATTCTTTACTTTTCAAATTCTTGAAACTAGAGTAGCAAATGGAAAGACTGATCTAGTTTTTGCTCTCCCAGCGACTTAAAGGCCTGGCTAACCTATAATATTTTTCTCTTAATTAAAAAAAAAAAAAACCCACTGGCTATAACATGTACCCATTTAAAATAGCTATAGAATGTAAGATTTTTTCCCCCCCGGGGTGTGTATGTGTGTGATTATATAGAAATCTCATTTTCCAATGATAGTTACTAATTTGAGGCAAGCAATAAGAATGTTAACTAATAGCGTGTATTCAAACTTTTAAAGTCTGCTGAAAATGTTACTCTATGCGCCAAATGTGAACACTGTTGCTCTTCAGTCTAGCAGCAGTTGCCGTGGTTTAGTTTCTCTGGCCCAGTAATAGGAAATAGACCATGCCAACTAGGGACTGTTAGAGCCTACAAGGTGAACTCATCATAAGCTCCGCACCAGGGTGATCATATGATAAATTTAGAGGTGGGTTTTTTTTTTTTTTTCAAGACGAAGAAGTGGAATTTAGCCATCTAGCGTGGGAACTATGTTGGGCAGTGGTGATGTCAAGAGACCCATGACTGTACCCTGAATTCTGATAGCCTTCAGTGGCCACAGGCTTTCTCTGTAGCCGGCTCAGGAGAACACAACAGGATGGGAAAGTTCCTCAGAGACGCACCCACAGCACCAGACAGCTCCCGAACGTGAGCGAGAACACACTGAAACCTTGCCTCCAACAAC